CTGAAGCCATTCTGAAAGATGTTTCTCAAAAACACACCATGCATGCATACATGATGGATTCCTCCCACCTCTATATTTAAAAGAGGCTGCTGGATTTGGCCCTGCTTTAAACGTTGTACAGTCTTTACAAGCACATATATAAGCTAGAGTGATTGTGCATGCCGTTATTGTTTCTCATAAGAAAACACAAATAATACAGAGAATTCTTGTTTGAAAAAGACAAGTTTATACTCGATTTTTCCCTCCCAGTGCTGTGACATGTTCAGGCAAAAAACCAAAAAAACAAAAAAACACCAAATTTGGCTACTTGCCATTTCTTTAATTTATATTAACTCAAGACTAATTAAATTAGCAAGAACAAAGAATTAGTAATAACTAGGAAAGCTCAGGCTTTTGTAGTTTTAGAAGAATTCTGCATGGTCTAAATTTGCTTACAGGAAACTATATTAAGGACTATCCTTGTTTTCTTTGTCCACAGACAAATTTTTGTGCAAGCCTCATCACATTCAAGCTGCTAAAGTCTTTTATTCTCCCACACTGTAACTAGTCACCCAGACTGGAAGGTGGGAGAGTGACTCTTCATATTCTCTTCTGTAAGCCTTTCAGCCTCCCTGAAAAAATGCACTACTATGCCCAAGTTCTGTCCTCAGCTTTAAGGCTTCACTCTCCTCCTCACATGTTACACTTGCTTCAGTCACCAGATCAGTTCCCATCATAAGGAGGAGCAGAGAGGAAGATACAGTTTAGAAAAAAATGCCTACAGTTTAGGCTTGGTATCAATTCAGTTTAATTAATGACTCAATTGTAACCCAATCACACTGGTTCATCCTAAATCTTCATTTCAGACCAATGAATACCAGTTATCTCACCAGGTTACGAACTTTAAGAATAATTCATGCCAGTATTTTAAATAAAAAAGTGCTTCGACAGCAACTGCAAGAAAAAAAAAATGCAGAGAAAATTAGTTTTCAGAAGTTACTTTTGAAATGAATCTGCATGAGTTTGCTTTATGTCTCATTTGTATCTGCTACGGACAGGAGAGTCTTCCAAATAAAACTCAGAAGAGCACTACTTTTTCTTCTCCATCATGCAATCACCATATAAGCAGCAGATGTTGACAGGAAAAAGGGTTGGTTTTATTTTCCTCCCCCAACTGTCCAAATCTCTTTGCCCAAACAGGAAATTTCACAGTGAAGTTGCAGCACAGAACACTGTCGGGGGGAGGTGGGGAAAAAAGCTTGCAAATGGTCTAAAAGCCTTTGTACTCAGTACTCTCCAACCATCAGTTCGACTGATGAGAGACTTACTCTTACGGCGACTGCACACCTTACAGCCTCCCTTTTGCATCTTGTGAAGAACAACTAAATCTGGATTTGTGGAGATGAGCCTGATGCCAGTCTGTTAGTTTTAAATCACATAAGCATCCAACTAATGCCATGCAATGCAGGCAAGCTTCTGCGCTCTCTCCTTTCAGTGATGGCATTAGGTTGATTACAGAAATGGAATTATCCATCAGGAAGAACACAATTAGTAGTAAACACTTTCCCCCACAGTACACACCTCTGCTGCATGATACCTTTGTTTCCATATTTGCCTGCAGTTTCAGAAAACTATAATCACTTGAGCAACCCAGTACAGGGAGAGGCTGCCAAGCATAACACTCCAAAATTGTCTAACTGGGAAAAACACAAATTCTTCTGTCCTGCAGAGTGATTCTGACATAAGTGGGACAGTTCCCCCCACGCCCTTCAGAAAATACAGAAACGTATGCTGCAAAGAGGCACTCTTTTGGAGGTGCTGCCTCATCCCAGTAGCCAAAAGGCAGTCAAACCACATTGGATACTTACCAAAACAGGTCACAGGAACAAACAAAAGAATTTAAAAAAATTAAAGCCAGCCAAAAGATTTTTTTGGAGGTAATTTGGACATCAATAAAATAGAAAACCAAGTAACAGCAAAACAAAAGCAAAACATTCTATAACATGAAATGCCTTAAAAAGGGGAGAAGAATGGCCCATACTTCCAAAAACAGTTTTCCTGATGACATAAATGGAAGGAAGACCTCAAACTTATCTCATTTGTAATTGCTGCTCCTTGCCTTAACGATAAACTTCTGTTCTATGTGTCTGTGGAATACCCAGAATGACTTGATGGCTCTTACATTACTTCAATCCTCCACAATAATCTTCAGATTCCTTTAGTAAATCAACTCAGTTTGTCATTTGATAAGTTTTTCCTTCTACTTCTGTTGCTGAAATCAGAAGCAGTCCTGGAAACAGCCTGGTTTAGAAATATTACAATGCAAAAGAGAGGGAGATGAATCTAAGAAGAAACTCAGGTTAGTAAGAGATCTCTGGTATGAACCTAAAAGATGACAGTAGTATGCTTTTGCTTTACCAGTTATTCCACACTTTCAGACTAGAAGCAATTGTAAGGTCATCCAGTTGCCCTACTAAAATTTCAACCATTCAGACTGACAGTTGCCAAAGCAAACATCAGTTTTATTCTGATGACATCAAACTGTTCGACTATTCTAAGAACAAAACTATGAAAAGCTAATTTTTGTCTAGACGGAAAAAATATCCCCAAATATTATCATAGCTATTTTATTGTGAATTTTATTATCTTCGTGTTTTGGAATAAGGATTGGTAATTGGAAATATTGGTAATTGGAAATGAAATTCCTAAATTATGGCACGTTCAGCACCTTAAAGAAATTCAGTTGTAAGTTCTGGCAAATGCTTGCAGAGTAAATGAAGCAGTAATTTGTCCTAGAGATTTCTAACTTGCCCAAGTTCTTATGTTTTTTCACCACGATGGCGAAAGGTATATCCCAGAAATGCCTTATGAGACATTCTCCCAAAATGAAATCATCCCAAAGATAAACTCTCCAGAATTTAAATTTTTTTTTTTTAATTTACAGTAGAGCAACATATTTTTCCATAGCCTTTTTCCTCATAAAATTCTAACTAATTCTGACTCATTTTCTGAAAGAAAAAAATCTAGCCAAGAAAGATGTTTTGGTTGACAAGTTGGGATAGATGACCTGCAGAGGACCCTTTCATCCTCTACAATTGTGATTCTGTGAATATTTCAGCCTAATAGTTAAAGCCTAGCAGACTGGTGAGTAGCCAAACAAGTTCTTGTAATGACACATGCGATGTTAAGAGAAAAAGAATATTAGTCATTTTGCACTCCCGTTAGCACAGAGAACAGCAATAAGAACTGCTAAGACGACAGAGCCATTCAGTATCAGTTTCTGTTCCTCGTTTCCAAAAAAAAGCAAGGAGACATTCTTATACCACTGTAAGGACAGGGAAGGAACTTCCTATCCATTGGTAACTCAGGCAGAGGATGAACAACTTGCAAAAGGCTTGATCAGTCTTCAGTGAGCATTCCTATATCATATTCAACATAGCAATTCTGAAGAGAGTTGACTAATGACGCTTCTTTTTCTCTGATGCCGCTTTGTGGAATACAAAACATTTTTCAGACAACTAATTTTATAAGTTACAGTTTGAGCTTTTCATCAGTGGAAACTCATAATTAAACAGCAGCAGTTCCAGCAGGATTTGAGAGTAAACACTATTAAAATTGTTTCATCAATTACTTTCCTTTGTGTAGATAAAAGAAGTGAATGGTAACTGGAGAATGGAGACTTGATCTCAGAAATCAACAGCTGCAGAAGTTATGGAATCACATCAGACAATCATCCTGTGACCAAAAACAACCAGACCCACGTCCTTACTTAAGTGTCCTGAACACACAGGAGGCCTAGAAGTGAACAGAAGCCGAGCTTCTGTTTTGACAAGACTAACACTGAAAGGATACATATGGAGTAGCTGCCCTCATTTCTAAGACCCTGTGAAAAGTTTCAGAATGTGTAGTAAAGAGCCATGAAGATTGAAGAAAAAAAACTCTAGAGCTCCTTAAAGAGCTTATTCTGTTTAGTTTATGAAATTTGTGAAGCAGCATGATTTTGCTATGCAAGCGTCAGAGAGGGAAAATGCCACATACTAAAGAGCTCATGAATCCAATGGAGAACTGCTTTATGAAAAACAAAAGATGGGAACTGAAGCCAGACAAACCCAGATTTGAGAAACAAAAAACAAAAACTTTGAGTGGAATTAAGGACAACTCTCAAGGCAAATGATAGATTCCCTTATCCGCATGTTTTCAAATTAAGACCAGAGGACTTTCTGAAAAACAAATGGAATATGTGCTCAGAAACAATTAGTGGGCTTAATAAAGAATAAAGGCTTGACATTTTGTATCCTACAGTCACACACAAACTGACAAAAAAGCCTCTTAGACTATGAATCTATTATCTCCTATCAAATATTACTGAAAGATGGTGCTATCGGTCACTTAGAACTAATTAGTTAAACTCCTACCCCTTACTTTTTGGGAAGAGCATCCCTATAGTTATGTTTCACACTCATTTCACAGTTGTGTTCATTTGTCTGTGTTTGCCGTCATCCACAGTTTTAGAAATCACCCATGAACATGGGTGTCTTCAAAAAAAATATAACTATTAAGAGGAAGAAGTGGATATAAAGACATTATGAGAGGATGGTTGGACTAGATGATCTTGAAGGTTGTTTCCAACCTTGTGATTCTATGATCCTACAATTATAAGAACAAAAAAAAACGCACGTCCATAAAATAAACCTTGACTTGTCTTAACAACTGCTACAAACACAATTTTCCCAAGTGTTGGAAAGCAAAGAGTTCTAAAGAATCTAGTAGATGGAAGATACTTAAAAGAAGATTTTTACCCTTCAGATTTAAATGCCTTCGTAACGGGGATATTGCAAACTCAAAAGCATCAAGAAAACACTAAGCCCAATTCAGGCAACATCAAATTATAAACTTCAGTAGTACACCTATAGAGGCCCCATGCACATCTACATATATGTACTTTCATATACATACTTACATATACATGTTCATATTTCACATACATATATGTACTTTTACATGTGTATGCTGCTTCTTACCTGATGGGATTTTAGCATCTGAAATGCACTGATGTCTCCAAAAGCTAATAGCAGATCTTTCTCTGTTCTGCAGTCGGCACAATCTCTCAGCCAGCCCTCCCCTGCAGAGAAGGAAGAAATGATCAGTTTTGCCAATAATCAGATTTGCCAAGAGAAACCATAGGACTAATGGAATATCACAGAATGGTTTGGGTTGGAAGGGAGCTTTAAGACCATCTAGTTCCATCCCTTGTTATAGACAGGGACACCTCCCACTACACCAGGGTATTCAGAGCCCCATCCAGCCTGGCCTTGAACACCTCCAGGGTGGTGGATACATATAATTTGGCCCTTAAAGACAGAAGCATACAGTAACATTACATTTTACAGATTAGCTCTCCCAGTTTTTCACTTTCCAGAGAATAACCATGTGTTGTATTAGGAGTATAGAATCAGTACACACCATAAAACATTTTCCACTATCTGAAAGTCCATAACCCTCAAGTTTTCAGTTGTGTCTCAATCTTTACACAAGGATTGTAAAGAAAGACCCCAAACTTCTCTGCACTTATTGTGACAGCTACTACAGACAGTTCTGAATTTGAAACAAACATCCCAAATGGTTTAGTGTAGCCACTAGTTATAACAGGTTGGGTTTTTCCCTCCTAGATTTGTTTGTCTGTTGGCAAGGAGTGATCACAGAAATATTCTTTTACCCATACTTGACCCTGTGATTCATTTCACAAGCTGGGTCAAGTGTGCAGCTTCAGTGGTCTGAACACTCTCCAAGATGGAATTAATTTGGCATTCCCAAGGTGAGGAGCAGAGGAGTGGCATCTAAACCGCACACATTTAAGGTAACACTAAAGCAATTTCTACCCCTTGGATTCCAATCCAAGGTACATCAATTTATCATCTTAAAACAAAAAATACTGTCATAGAAGATATCCCTCGGTTGTTGCAATGAACTTAAGGACAGCATGAGGGTATTTGTGCATTTCTCTCTGGCTTCAAACAGGTTGTTTTTATTAAAAAAATACATTATTATTTCCTTAACACTAAGTTTCCCCACTACAAGAACAATTCAGTATATTAATAAGGGCTTCCACTAAGCTGCAATGTGTCCTTAGGTAAACTTGGTTTAGGAATCAAAGAGGGAGCACAAGATCACCTTGTTTGTGCATATGAATGGGGTTATTATTTTAGAATGTAGTTCACATAGCTTGGTAAAGCTGACACTGCAAATGAGAAACTGGGAGGACTCACACCTGTGAAAACCAACAAGGAGCTGAAAAGGCTGAACACTAAAAATCTATGGTTAGAAATTACTGACAGCCATTTCACCTGCAGATAAATCGACAGGTTACATAAAAACAGATTATCAGTCTCAGCTGATTTTCTAGTTAACCAACTATCTAATTTGCAAAACCATAACTATCTTAAGACTTAGTAGATAGCATGGCTGAACACCTTAGTAGAAAAGACCACAGAATGGATACTCAAATTTAAGAGTCATGCTTTACCCAGAATGATTCATGGAAGTTACATGGTTTACATTATTGCAGCCTCTTCTACAGCTGAGGAGATTCTGGGAAAAGGAAAACTCTAATTTACTATCTTCCAGAGGAAGCAAAGAATCCCCAGATTGCCAAAACAAAGAACCCTCTCTCAAAAAGCTACAGGACTTGCTGTATCAAGCAAGAACACTGACAAAAATACTTAAGAAACCTTGGGCTCCAGAGAACTTACAAAAAGCTTAATAACATGAACTGCTTTCAGCAAGAATCACGAAACACAGAATCAACTAATACAGAAAAATGCAATGGATACTTCAGTATGCAGCAGGGTCAAGTTAAGCACAATTTTGTACAGGACAACTTGATCTGCTGCTGTTAACGTTTTGCCACGTTTACCTCAAACTTGAGTATTCAAGCATACTGCACTCCAGTAGCTGTGGACAAAAAAACTTTTACAAACAACAGCAACCTGCCCACCCAGTTCTTCTTCTTGCCAGACTGCCATTCTTAGATGTAGTTTGTTGTTCAGCTCTGCTGCATGATCTACCTAAGGCATGCTAGAACACCATTCACTTCAGCTACACTTGGAAATAGCGCAGCTACATGCATTTAAAGTTTGCTTGCTTGAGTCTGAGACTGATCTCTATACAGAGAGTTGGACTACAGCAATAAACAGAAGAGCTAGTAGCTGAAAAACATTTCTGGTGGAAGAAAACTGCTCAGTAGAAGCATTCCGTAACACTATTTCATTCCTTCCACAAAGAACATTCAAAGAAATGCAGTTTCTTACAATGCTTAAGGCACAAAAAACCAGCTCACAGTATAATTTAGAACCATACAATCATAGAATCCTTAGAGTTGGAAGGGACCTTCAGTGGCCAACTAGTCTGATTCCCCTGCAATGAGCAGGGACACCACAGCTAGATCAGGTTGCCCAGGGCCTGATTCCATCCTCATCTTGAAAGTCCCCAGGGACTTTCCTCCCCACTTTTCCTGATTAGGGTTGCAGTTGTGCCTAGTCAGTCCCTATTCTTCTGGAAGCCCACTCCTACTTTACCTATGGCAGAAGCACTTTGTAGCATGAAAGAAAGCAGTTCCTGATTTTGAGGCACACAGCAAGAATTAAAAAATAAAAAAAAAAAAAAAAAAATTTAAAAAGCAAAAAACTCCCAGTTTCAGGCCAGATGTGTCTGCCAGGGAAGCTATCTGACACTTCATTACTGATTTCCTAATCATGTCTGTATTAGAACAACAGTTATCACAGGGTCTATGAAGAATAAAATCATGTCTTTCCCTAGCAGGCCTTGATGCTGATAAAAACAAATTGATACTTATATTAATACTCATCCTTCAATTCTAATTCCAAAGGCAGTTTAAATTATTTAAACTGCAAACATACTGCATTTTGCATCTGCGTGGTTGCAAGATATAAAATGTAAGCAAAAAAAAAAAAAAAGCATTTATGAGATGTTCTCAGTTGGTCACTGGAACTGCCTTCCTCCCCCCCCACTCCTTTGCCTGTTGCATACGCTGTGAAACTAGGAAAATACAGTTCAAGGACATGCCATGCACAAAAGGAATTTATGTAGCAATTGAGCTGGCTGTTTATGGTTCATTTCTTTTAAAAAGTAGAAATAAAAAAAGAAATTTAAATACTGCTCCAAACACAGGAGAAAGAACTCCTCTACACTTAAAGCAAAGAAACTGAAGGAAAAAAAAAAAAAAAAAAAGGTGCTCTCTTTTGCAAGTTTGGCAGGTTTAAGACAACGACGCTTGAGATCAACAAATTTCTTCTCATACAATACAGGTGCCCACTGCTGAAAGTGTTCATCTATGCACTGTGAGATATTATGAACTACACAGACTCACTCTTGGCTGCACAGAGGAGAGGTAACAGAGCTACACAAAGCTCATTGGAAGCAGAGTGTGATACTGAGCAGGTGCCAACTCCAGTGTAAAACCAAACTCCTTGCTTAGAAAAGAGCAACGCTTCCAATTACAATTTTATTTTTAAAAATATCCAGTTCCCTCTTTTACACATATCTAGCTCTTATAACACACTTAATTGTCCTAGATGACAAACCCACCATCTGGAGTATATTTATCTCAAATCAGAAAATGTATTTTGATTACTAATTCTGATTTTTGTGATCAAGGAAGCCAGTGGTATGTATTTAAATGACAAAAGCTATAAGCTCAGATGCATACCTTACTGACCAGCACTTCAAACTTGACCCCAAAACAGTGTTTTATCATAAGCAAATGTAATGCATTTGGCAAAAAGTTAATGCAAAGGCTGCTCAGTGAAGCCAAACCGCTCAGATAGAATCTCGACCAGTCAAAACCTTTTTATTTTTAATCATGCAACTCTAAACTATTTTATGTTGTTTTTTGGTGTTTTTTTTTTAATCCCTTAAGGCAGTCATATTTAACAAGCAGAAATTCATGCACCACTTCCCTATAAAATCTGAGCTTGTTAAACTACTCATTTAAAATATGTATTGCCACTGTTGCCCAGGTTGAACAACATCCACACGAAAGCTCTGTACCTGGGTAAAAGCTTGGCTGCTTGTGATTGTTGGTTTGCACAAACAAACAGCAAGTTTCAAATGTTTTGTATGTCACACAACAAGTACTATCCAAAAGGTAACACAGCTGGAACAGACATATTGCTGGTTCCCAGCTTCCAACTCCAGTCAGGTTAATAGAGAGGAAAAAAAGAGCATTAATGAGTAGGGTGAGTTTTAAAAAGTCATTTTCAATCTTCTTTGGAGTGCTGGAGCTCTACCTGTGTTCATGTAATGAAGTTTTAATTTAGTAGAGCAATTACTAAAAATAACCTCACAAAACTAAATTAATCTAAACTTACTTTCTCGGACTTCATCCAAATTTAAGAGCTGTGAACACAAAAGCATCTCTCTGATTAAGTTATCTCCTCATATACATTACTCCACATATTTCAAAACATTAAGGATTACACAAATACATGAATCCATCTCAGGACTGGGCATTTGGCCTCATATTTTCTTTTCAAAGCAATGATAGATCTCTACCCACACATCCAAGTTAACTAATTAAATAACTTCTGCAACATTCAGCTGTCCAGTTCCACTTTATAAGGATGCATGTTGGCATTTGTCAGCATTGTAAAGCCCTCAGATGTTTTCAGCTTGCATAATAGTAAGCAACACTGAGTGCTGACAGTTGCTACTACATGCTCCTTTAGCATGAAAAATTACACGTGTAGGTATGAAAGATGTGATCAAAGTCCTCTATGGAGGCCACCTCCTCTCCAGTGAAGAAGAGGAGTTGTTGACTTAGTGAAGTAACAAAGAATCTGAAAGCAATTTTACGTGTATAGATCAGCCCTATTCAAGCTTCCGCCTTGGGATGAATCACTAGTAACATGATGATCATCGGGGTAATTCTGCTTGTTAAATTAATACAATTTTTCTAGAATCCTTTTCCATTCATTACAACAAGTGGGCACCACCAGAGTATCATAGAATGGTTTGGGTTGGAAGGAACCTTTAAGATTATCTAGTTCCAATCCCCTTGCTATGGGCAGGGATATCTCTCGCTACACCAGGTTGCTGAAAGCCCAT